GCGGTGGCTCAAGTGGTTAAGACGCTGAACTGCAGGCTGTGGAAGGTCGGTAGTTCAGCAGTTCGAGACCTGAGTGTGCCGCATGACGGAGTGAGCTCCCGTCTCTAGTTCCAGCTCCTGCCAACCTAGCAGTTCGAAAGCAAGAAATTGCAAGTAGATAAATAGGGACCACTTCGGTGGGAAGATAACAGCGTTCCGTGCGCCTTGGTGTTTAGTCATGCCGGCCACATGACCACGGAAACGTCTTCGGACAGCGCTGGCTCTTCGGCTTTGAAATGGAGATGAGCACCGCAACCCTAGAGTCGGATTCGACGGGCTTTTGAGCAAGGGAACCTTTACCTTTACCTTACCAGTTGAGAACTGGTCCATTGGGCAGTCCCATTTGGACTTTTCTGCACCTTTGTTCGAGAACCCCTTACGCTGAGCCATTCTGTGAACAGAAGCCAAAGGTTGTCAGCGCCAGAGGATGCAGTGCAAAAGTGCCATTCCAATGGTTGGTGTTTTACAGGTTCAAGAATCTGGCTCACCAGTACAAGTCAATGTTTCCTTCTTTAGAAGTTGACACAGAGGGACAGCTGCGGAAACTAAAGGTAAACATCTCGAACGTCGGCAAATGACTTCTGACCAGCGTGGGGCAACGTCACAGCTCAGGGAGAGAATTTTTTAAAAATAAGGTGATCTAGTACAAGTTCTTGCTGCCTTTATTGTCTTTAAAAAGACCCAAGTTAAAAGAAAACGTACATGGAAATGCAGACAAAGCCCAGAAGAAAGGCATATGGCAAAAGGCATAGGTACAAGTACAGCACGTTTTGTGTTTATGCCCAGTTTTGGTCTGGGCTCATCAGGGCTTGGGGGACTAAACAAGGCCAACCACAGTCACTACATGGAGGAGAAGACCACCAAGGAAAAGACACAGAGGAAGGCAATGGCAAACCACCTCTGTGCATCTCTTGCCTTGGAAACCGCATGGTTGGGGTCACCATGTAACTTGACAGCACATTGTTCTTATTCTTAAAGACATTCAAGCTTTAGATAACATTGCAGTACGTTTAATAAAATGTTTCATTTTAAAAATTCCTTGGACCTGCTTGTGGGCTGCATAGCTCTAGTGTGGGCTTAGGTGAAAAATCTGCTGGGACTTTCTGCCTGAAGTTCCCACAAAGTGAATGGGAGTCAAGCAAGAGCATTTCAGAGTTCACACATTCTTTTGACGATCTCTTGGTGACATCAGCACCCAGCGGTAGCCACGTTGCAAATGCACATCCAAGTATGGTGCTTTTGAATTGGTAGCAGATCATACATTCAGCGGGAAATCACTGAATGAGATAGCGAGTGATGTAATTTTCACACGTGAATCACCTCTTGCACAGCACCACCTCCAAGGGCAGCAGCTTTCAAGAATGGCACAGGGGTTCACTTATCTGTGTGGCTGGCCAGACGCTTGCTAGACATTTAGGTTTGACTAAGAGAAGGACTTTGGGCCTGTTGCCACCATTGCAAAGTCTGTAGCCCAAACAGGGACACTTGGCAACCTTTGCACTAACAGCTGAGAGCTGGTGGGATTGAGTGAGTATGAACTGGATATATGGGAAGGGGTTTGTATTTTGTAGGACTCCAGGAACCTTTCCTGAAGAGCATCTCCCAGCTGTAAGAACGATAGAGAGGAATAGGCATCTATTTGATGCAACTATAAGGCTGGGACATTGCAAAAGACATGAGCCCAATTGTTCATCGTTTTAGATAAAATGGTGCATGTAGCATAAATTGGGAGAGAAAAATTGCAACTTTTTAGGAGACCGCTCTGAGTTATGTCCAGGAGTCTTGTCCCTGAGGGCTTGACTGTCCTCAGAGAAACTGCAAATTAGCCTGCAGTGAATTGCCCCGATTAGAGGAATACATGTAGGTTTTAATCTGCATGTATTCCTACAGTCACCTAAAGACTATGATCCTCTGCCTTTTGGTACTTTTTTGCCTTGTAGCCAGTTCGGTAGAGCCTGGCGGAAGAGCTCCGTCTCACAGGCCGTGCGGAACTGTACTATCTGATGAATATCTGATTAAACTCATATGCGGATTGACTCCTGCAGGGCTACGGTGAGAAAATAAGGCCCATGGTCCGAGATGGTATTTATTTTATGTATGAAGCCCTGCACGGCTCCCCAAAGAAAATCCTCGTGGAAGGGGCCAACGCAGCTCTGCTTGACATCGATTTTGGTAAGCCGCCTTCTCCAGTATGCTGGTCTTCCTCCATAAAGATCTGCAGTTTAAAAATCCTCCGGACTTTGTTTTGTTGTGTTTTTTTTTAAAGGGTGTGCAGATGTAGGGAAGGGTTACAGATTTGCTTCCCGGCCACAAGTGTGCCTTCAATGTACAGAAAACTCTGCAGTCTGGCCAGGAGATTGCATGTCTTCATCATGGAAATATATACGTGAGCTGGTTTGATCTTGGAACTCCTTATTGTCAGGTCCCCACACCAAACAACGTAGTACACACTTGCAAGAAGGTTTTACTTTATTGAAGCCATGAAGCACTTGAACAGGGTCACTGTTCAGAATAACCTAAGGGGTATGAAAGGTTAAAGCAAATTCATAATCATAACAGCCAATAAACAGGGTTCCCGCGCGCGGCCAAGGGGTCCCGCACGCGCCTAAACCTTGGGAAAGCAACGGCTACCTAATTGTAAATAGGTATGCAGTTCCCACAGATTCTTCTAATTAAAGACAAAGCAAAGCTTCTCCGCTCTTCCTCTTGTGGCCTTGGTGAGATAGTGTTACATCAAAGCAGGACTGGCGTACTCTAAAAGGAAAGCATGGCAACTAAGGAGATGAGCGCATGAAAATCTAAACGCAACTAGAGAGGAAGGGGGGGAACACATGGTTGACCATATACACATAGAAATTACATATTGGCAGCTTGCTGACACTTATGTTGTGTCTAAAAATACTAGAAGCAGCCCCGAGACTTCTCTCATTTGTATGCTGACTTGAGGCCAAATAAGATGTGGTGCCGGGAGTTCTGTGAATGAGCGCTTGTGTCTCTCCCCCCCCCCTTAAAAAGCAGTCTAGTTGGTCCCACCCTGACGTGGATGGGCCATGCTAGCTCGATTTTGTTAGACCTTAGGAAGCTAAGCGGGGTCGGCCCTGGTTGGTATTTGGATGGGAGACCACCAAGGAAGTCCAGGGTCTCTATGCAGACAAAGGCAATGGCAAACAACCTCTGTTAGTCTCATGCCTTGATAACCCCTTACGGTCTCTGTAAGTTGGCTGTGATTTGACGACACTTTACACACTCACAATAGATGGGTGGCCACATTGTTCTGGAGCAGCAGAACAAAGTTTATTTTATTTATTTAATTTATATCCCGTCCTCCCCACTGACGCAGGCTCAGGGTGGCTTACACAAAAATAATCAAACAGATAAAACGGGAAGTTAGATAAAATCACAATAAATCATAATAAATAAAGGATAAAAGCATCACATAAGGTGCTAGTACGAGTCATATGGTGGTGGCGGGCGTTGGCAGCATCCGACAGAGCATATAGCCGTCTAACAGCATAGCCTGGGACGTATCGGCGGAGTACTGGTTGTTGTTGGTGATGTTACTATTGGGGCCGGGCCCCCAGTGTATAAAGTGCGGCTCCCTAATCGACGGCCTGGTGGAGGAGCTCCGTTTTACAGGCCTAGTGGCACCTTTAAGACCAACAAAGTTTTATTCTGGGCACGAAAGGTTATACCTAGAACAAAACTTTGTTAGTCTTAAAGTTGCCGCTGGACTCAACCTTCGTTCCACAGTAGATGTGTGTAATTGGGGCTGGGTGGGTGGAGGAAGAGATGAGGTCTAGGCCCACTTTCCAGTCTCATTCTCTTCAACCTGGAACTGCCCCACAGTGTTAAAGACATGGATCCCGATACTGATGCTGGTTTTGTCCCAGCTGGATAAATAGCAGCTCCGTAAGGCCAGTTCGGGTCATGAATATAGCGGGGGGGGGGGGGGGGGCACTGTGCCATTCAGGGCCGGTTCCAGGTTTTGAAGGCCCCCTGGGTAGAGAGTGCCGAGGGCCATCCACTCCCCCTCCTACCCACCACCAGGCCCCAACACTATCCCTCCTTGCCTGCCACCAGCCTAGGTGCCCTCCCCCTGCCGGCTTGTGAACTCTCACCCACACTCACCGCCACCTGCAGCCCTTTCCCCAGTGACACTGGGTGATGCATTTAGCTGGGGGCACGGTGGAGTGCTTGCAAAGGAGTGAGCGTGTGTGTGTGTGGGGTCAACAGCAGTGGACCCTGCCAGACTCCTTGGGCCCCGGCAGCTGCCCCACCTCGGGGGATACTGGTGCCCTTGTCTTCATCCTCCAGATCAAATGCCTGCTTTTTAAAAGGGGAGAAACCCTACCTGGGAACTCATGTGTAGAGCTCCCAGTCAATGTTCCCTCTAAGCTGTAGAGTCTTGTCAGCAAAATTTCTACTTTGTGAGCCCCTGGCATTAAAGTTGTGCGTAAGTAATTCAGCTACTGCATTAATTAGTTTGCTCTGGAGCCATCCTTCCGGAGCTAAGACAAAAATGTGTGAGCCAGAAGCTAAAAAATTGTGAGCTAGCTCACACTAACTCAGCTTAGAGGGAACACTGCTCCCAGTGTCTTGTGCGCATAGAGAGGCAAGCTACCAACTTTTAGTACCTAACTGCGACGCTACTGGAAGCACTACTCAGCACTAAGAACATAAGAGAAGCCAGTGTTGGATCAGGCCAATAGCCCATCTAGTCCAACACTCTGTCACACAGTGGCCAAAAATACCAGGTGCCAAAAATACCAGCAATTGGAAGTAGCTCCTGAGATGGCTGGAGGTTGAGGGGAAGGGCAAGATCCTGCCTCTCCAGAGATAACTGCTGCCTGATCCTCTAAGTTAGCTGATCCACCCTGTTTTATTTATTCACTTCATTTACAAGCCAGTTTTCCTGCCCATTGGGGACCCAAAGCAGCGTGCCTCGTTCTCCTCTTCTCCGTGTTATCCCCACAACAACCCTGCAAGGTAGATCAGGCTGAGTGTGTGTGGCTGGCCTAAGATGACCAGCAAGCTTCCATGGTAGCCTCCAGTTTGGTGCAGTGGTTAGGAGTGCGGACTCTAATCTGGGAGAACCGGGTTTGATTCCCCACTCCTCCACATGCAGCTGCTGGCGTGACCTTGGGTCAGTCACAAGTTCTCTCGGAGCTGTTCGCTCAAGAGCAGTCCTCGAAAGAGCTCTCTCAGCCCCACCTACCTCACAGGGTGTCTGTTGTGGGGAGGGGGAGGGAAAGGAGAGTGTGAGCCGCTCTGAGACCCCTTCGGGTAGTGAAGGCCGAGGTATAAATCCAGTCTCCTCTTCTCTTCTATATGAAATGTGTAACAATAATTCAATAATGCAAAAATATAATTCAAAAATATAATTATATAACAATATTGGCCAAGGTGTAACCAATATTGTTATATAATTATTATATTTTTGTCCTTCCTTCCTTCCTTCCTTCCTTCCTTCCTTCCTTCCTTCCTTCCCAGATGCTAGGCTGACATGCTAACCCCTTGACTCTCCCGTTCAGAATCTCCTGTTTCGTAAAGGGGTATAATGTATGCTTGGGCTAGCCTGGGCCATCCAGCTCAGGGCAACCTTGGAAGCTAAGGAGGTTCGGCCCTGGTTAGCACTGGGATAGGAGACCCCCAAGGGAGACCAGGGTCATTACTCAGAGGCAAGCAGTGGCACACACACACACCCCTGTTCGTCCCTTGCCTTGAAAATCCTACAGGTTCACTGTAGATCTCCTGTACTTTCCGCCACTGTAGCGTTCCCTTAAAAAATGTTCATAGAACTAAGATCCCGTTTCTGCTTCTCTGCCCCAGTAGCCCCCTTCACAAGCTCTTCTTCGCTGTGCCGACCTCCACCCTCATATGTTGCTCTAATCAAGGCTCTTCTGGGCTTTTAAAGCCCCTCGGAGTAATTAACTGGTGCACGCGGGGGGTTATTTTGAAATATGTAGAGCAAAGCCGCTTGTCTCCCACACACAGTTCCTCAAAGTTAAGTTTTGTGGGGTTTTTTTCCCCGTAGGGACGTACCCTTTTGTGACCTCTTCCAACTGCACCGTGGGCGGCGTGTGCACCGGACTCGGTATCCCTCCTCAGTATATCGGAGAGGTGTATGGCGTAGTGAAGGCCTACACTTTACGACGAGAGTGGGCATTGGAGCCTTCCCCACTGAACAGATAAATGTAGGTTCGACATGGACGCCGCCGAGAAATGAGGTTGATTCGGGAAGAATGGTGGGCGGTATTGTACTGCTTGGGTTGCTAATAGCCACTGATGGACCTCTGCTCCATATGCTTATCTAATTCCCTCTTGAAGCCGTCCATGCTTGTAGCCACCACCACCTCCTGTGGCAGTGAATTCCATGTGTTCATCACTCTTTGGATGAAGAAGGACTTCCTTTTATCTGTTCTAACCCGACTGCTCAGCAATTTCATGGAGTGCCCACGAGTTCTTGTATTGTGAGAAAGGGAGAAAAGTACTTCTTTCTCTATATGATCTATCCCATGCATAATCTTATAAACCTCGATCATGTCACCCCTCAGCCGTCGTTTCTCCAAGCTAAAGAGCCCCAAGCGCTTTAACCTTTCTTCATAGGGAAAGTGTTCCAACCCTTTTAATCATTCTAGTTGCCCTTTTCTGCACTTTTTCCAATGCTATAATATCCTTTTTGAGGTGTGGTGACCAGAACTGTACACCATACTCCAAATGAGGACGTACCATCGATTTATACAGGGGCATGATGATACTGGCTGGTTTGTTTTCCATCCCTTTCCTAATAATTCCCAGCATAGAGTTTGCCTTTTTTATTGCAGTCACATACTGTCTCGACATTTTCATTGAGTTATCTACTACAACTCCAAGATCTCCCTCTTGGTCAGTCTCTGTCAGTTCAGACCCCATCAACGTGTATTTATAGTTAGGATTTTTTGCTCCAATGTGCATCACTTTGCACTTGGCCACATTGAACCCCATTTGCCACGTTGACACCTACTCGCCCATTCTCGACAGATCCCTTTGGAGTGCCTCACAATCCTCCCTGGTTTTCATCACCCTGAACAACTTTGTATCATCCGCAAATTTAGCCACTTCACTGAACAACAAATAGACACCATCTGGAGATTATTAAATTAAGAATAATTGATCTGCTGTTTTTAATTTGTAGTTTTGTATGTTTTTAATTTTTATGTATTTATTTTATTTATTTATTGTTTCTATTTGTATCCCGCCTTGCTGGGCACGCTGGCTCAAGGCGGCTAACAAAGTTAAAATAATGTAAACAATACAGGGATTAAAACAATTAATAAATACAGCACCAAGTTAAAAACAGCAACAATTTACAAATAAAACCGACAGATGATGGCGATAATCCAAATCAGACACTAACCTGTTGTAAATCACTCAGAGGCCTATGTAATCAGGGACTGGGTGATTCAGAAATTCAGTAGATAATGAGGAGGAGGAGGCTGCCGATGATTGCATTGACTTTGGAAACTGAATGATCAGATCCTTTTGACTGCCTGATGCTTAGATCCAACAGTCGATATTTTTGCTCCCTGGCAGGAAATTGGAGACCTCCTACAGTCTCGAGGCCACGAGTGGGGAGTGACCACAGGCAGGAAGAGGCGCTGTGGCTGGCTAGACCTGATCATTTTGAGATACGCTCATATGATCAACGGATTCACCGCGTAAGCAATCACAGATTTTGAGCTACACTCGGGACTCATAGCTTTTTGCCCTGTGGAGTACCAATACGTAGGTAACTTTTAAGAGTAGTCTAGCAAAGTATTATGTTTTTGTGTATTGACAAAAGACTGTGTTGCCCATTGTCGTGAGAATACGAATCTCTGCCACAAGGAGAAGCCACGTTGGACATGGGTTGCTTCCAGTGTGGCAACAGGTCTCATTGCTGCTACAAGCGCAGAATCATTTTGTAGCAGTGACCCAGTATTTTCTAGGGTTGCCAGCTCTGGGTTGGGAAATACCGGGAGATTTTGGGGGCAGAGGGATGGGGTTTGGGGAGGGGAGGGCATTCCGCAGGGTATAATGCCATTGAGTCTACCTTCCAGAGCGGCCATTTTTTCCAGGGGAACCGATCTTGGTTATCTGGAGATCAGTTGTAATAGCGGGAGATCTCCAGGTACCACCTGGAGGTTGGCAACCCCAGTATCCACACATTCTGGTTCTCCGGATCTTCCCAGCCCTTCCTTCAAACAGATTTGGGTACTCAACTGAAAATGGTGGCCACAGGTAAAGGAAAAGCGTTACTCACGTAGGTGGGACTGGGAGAGATCTAGACTTTCCTGTCCACGTGGATTTCCCTTCTAGCTTTGCTGAGATCTTTCCAAAAAAGGAGGTTTAGGAAAGGTCACGGCAAAGCTGGAAGAAAGCTAGAAGGTTTGTGAAGACACTGCAAAAAACCTTCATGTCAGCATTCCAGCTGAACCGAACACCCGGTGTGGAAGTAACCTTGGTGTCCTCTTACTGCTTGATAGCCTGGAAAAGGTGCAAAGTGTGTGTATGTGTGAGTGAATGGAGATTAACCAATTTTTGAAGAACCAGGTAAAATAGAACCTTGATTAGCCCGAAACATAGTTAATGGGTCTGCTGATGTCGTCTTTGAGGGTTAAAGGTGATAAGAATACTTGTTCAAGAGTGGAGGGAGGGAGTGATTCTGTGATGAATCTCTGGTTCCCTTAATCCCGTTTATGGGATGTATTCAGATTATATTTGCATCAACCAGTTCTGGGAGTTTAAGATACAAATAATTCATAAACTGGGAGGGGGGGGGGAAACAACCACCTGTACCAGGGGTGTCACTCATTTGTTATGAGGGCCGGATCTGATATAAATGAGACCTTGTTGGGCCGGGCCACGTGTGTCATAAAACGTAATGCCAGGTAGCGGAGATATAAACTTTATAAAGGACACAAACACAAAGGGTGTTTTTTTTACTTAAAATAAAAACATGCTTAAAACATTAGCACTCTTGCAATATTTTGTTTATTTAACAGTGTCTGATAACTGAGACCTCTTGTTCTGAATTATTGCATCAAAATGCCTGTGCTGTTGCAATCTTGAGTATGCTGTTCAGGTGTGTATCTGTAAACTGCAAACCTACAATGACGCAACAGCAGCAGAACTGGAAGAAGAAGCAGAAGACAGCCACTTCCACTGCGGGCCTGATAGAAGGCCTCCGGGGGCCTCATCCGGCCCCCGGGCCTCATGTTTGACACCCCTGCCCTATACATTTTAAAATACTCTAACACTTAAGAGTAATGCATTACCTTAGCTGACATCTTACGTTCATACTTAAAAATTATTATGGATTTGGTTAATCTTTTACTTGGGTGGCTCATTTTTAAAAAATGGGGTGGGGGGGAGTTCGAAGATGTATATTAAACCCTCGTAGTTGATCTGTTTGAGTATGAGTCATTCCCTAATGACTGAAATTCATATTTTATATCTGTTCATTTCTTTGAGATGGCTTATAAGTAAAATCGTAGGAGAAAGCAGGTTTTAGAGGAGAAGGGGGTTCAACCGTTAGCTTGAAGATTTTCATTACGTATTAACTATTGAATGTTTTCCGGGCAGTCTGGCATTAACCAAGCTGGATATCCTGGATGCCCTCGACGAGATCAAAGTCGGTGTCGCTTACAAGCTGGGAGGGAAAAGGATTCCGTATTTCCCAGGTATGTTGTCGCCTGTCTCGGTTCCATAACGCTTAAGGAATCGCTTGCCTGTAGTTCTTCGCAGCCCTGAGCTAGACGGCTCAGGCTAGCCTGATCTCATCGTATCTCAGAAGCTAAGAAGTTTAGTACTTGGATGGGAGACCAGCAGGGGTCATTTCGGGGGGATCGCGGGGGATCGCAGTTCCCCCAGGTGAGGTACAGGGGGCGGGGCACATGACGAAGCCCC